TATAGCACTAGCCTTGAACACAAAAACTCGGGGACAGTGCCCAGGCCCTGAGTTCAAAGCCTAGGACTGGCACCAAAGAAAAAAAAGAGAGAAGAGAGAGAAATGGTCACTTGTTTAGTTTTGGTAGTTTCAAAGGCAATACCTATACTATAAATATCTAAAAAGGCTAATGAGTTCCCCTTTTCCAGCCAAGGATTGGTGCAAGTCTGGTTTTCTTCATATTCTTCAACCAAAACAACATATTACAGTAGAAATAGGAAATTTGAGCTGTTTTCTATTAAGTCAGACAATAAAAGTTTTACAGAAATGTAATACAATACCACTCCTCTCACTTTTACTTTGGAAAGCAAATAAATTGCTTTTCGTAAGAAATGTTATTTATGCTAACATGTAATGTGTTTATTTTTAAATGAATAAATGCACATTTAAAAATCTGCATTTATTTGACATCTATACTATATGTGTGATATATACATATACACTAAATGTGTGTGTGTGTGTGTGTACACAAAATGAAAGGTCTTTGGGGGGGTGGGGGTGGAGGAGTGCTGGTACTGGGACTTGAGCTCAGGACCTTGTTCTCTTGCTTGACTTTTTCACTCAAGGCTAGCGCTCTATCACTTGAGCCATTTCTCTACTTTCATAGGGTCCTTAGTTTTTTGTTTTTTCCCCCCAGTTTGGTACTAATGTGGATATTACTTTAAATACCCTTTTGAATACCCTTTAAATACCCTTGTAAATATCCTTGTATATGTGCCTGGCCTAAATAAACAAGCCTTAGTTAGTATGGTATATGGCTAGGAAAAGAAGTACTCTGACCTCTTCCCACCTCAGTCTCTTGCTGGTATCTCCTATTAGCCAAATTCAGGTTGAAGCCAAAGGAGAAGGAAATAGGCTATTTCTCATAGGGTCAGTTTTAATTCCATCTGGAATTGAGTTTTGTCTATGGTGTGAGGTAGGGACAAGGTCTTTTTTTTTTTCTGTCCTTCCAAATAGCTATGCAATTGACTCTTCCATTTACTGAGATAGAGTGCTTTTCCACTGCTCTGACTGCCAGTTCCATTATAAATCAAGTGTTTGTAAATATGTGCTTAACTTCTTATTCTGTATCATGAGTCAATGTGCCTATCTTTAGACTACTGTCACATTGTCTTTTAATTATTACTGCTTTTATAGCCTGTCTTATCCAACATGCAAGGTCTTCTCATTTTTTGTTTTTGTTTCTGGCTGATGCTCTATCACTTGAGCCATGCCTCCAGTATTCATTTATATTCTTAAGGATTATTTTGGCTGGTAGTTCCTTTTGTCACTTTTTTGTACATACACACACAAACCCTGTTGGAATTTTGGTTGGGAATGTTGGTCAGTTGGAGAAAGAAATTAGATCTTTACAATATTTAATCTTTGACTCTTAGATATGTCCATTTCTTGATTTTTTTGATACTGTTTTATTGTTTGGTTACAGAGGCATGTACAATTGTTAAATTGATTTTAATATAATTTAATTGTTATTATTAAGGTGTTACCATTTCATAAGTCAGGTAATAAATACATTCCTTTTTGGACAGTAGTACCCTTTCCTTTGCTTTTCCCCAGTTCCCCTCTCCTGTCCCTGCCCACAAACTGCATAGTTTGTTTTCCACATATTTACACTGAATACCATGATTTCATTTGTTCACCCTTCTTACTTCCTTTCCTGCACCCCCTAAAAAAATCAAAAGCAAAAACAGCACTACCACCATCAATGACAAAAATTAAATTTCTTTTTTGAGTGTTTTAGTATCTTTTCTCCTAGGTACTATTTAAATGGTGTTTTCATTGTTCCCTTATGATATATACTGTATGAACACAGTAAGCTCACAATTGTTATTACATACAAATATTGTTTTTATTATTAATTTCCATATATTGGCTTATATTCCTTCACCTTGCTATGTTTACTCATTGATTATAATAGTTCAGCTGAAGACTCTTAGATTTTCTGTGAATACAAGTTATCTATAATAATCTACAAATAGTGGTAGTTTGATTTTTCCTCCCTTCCTAATTCACAAACATTTCTTTTACTTAATGGCACTGAGACCTTTTCCCCATTTCCATTTTTTTTGTCCTAAAAGTGGTGATGGACAGCATCGTTGGGTCACGCCTAATCTCAGGAGAAGCTGTCACTATTTAACAATTAAAGGAATATTGCCAGGTGTAGATAACCAAGAGTAGAGTGCCAGCCTTGAGTGATAGGTTTAACTAAGTCCCAGTACTTGTACCAAAAAAAAAAAAAAAAGGATATATGTTGTATTTTTCATGTTCTTTTTTGTCGGTCATGCGGCTTGAACACTGGACCTTAGCACTGTCCTTGAACCACAGGACTACTTCCAGTTTTCTGGTGGTTAGTTGGAGATAAGAGTCTCATAGATTTTCCTACCCAGGCTGACTTTGAACTACCATCCTCAGATCTCAGCCTCCTAAGCCACTAGCACCTGGCTTGTAGTTTTCAGTTTTTAAAGGGGTTGAGGTATAGCTCATGTGGAAGAGAGCTTGATTAGCATAAGTGAGGCCCTGGGTTTAGTTCCTAGTACTGCCAAAGAACTGTTTTTTTAAATGTTCCTTATCAGATTAAGATTAAATTTTTCTTGTAGTCTCAATTTTTATTCTGAATGGATGATCTTTTTTTGTTTTTAAAAATGCATATTTGGTGTTAATTTATCAATTTTTTTCCCATTATCAGTGAGGTGACAATGGGAATTTTATTTGTTGTATATTTCTCAATGCTAAACTAACTTTGTAAAGACAATTATGCTTATATTTTCTTTTTCTCTTCCATCACTCTCCTAAATGTTTATTTAGAAGTTTTGTATCTGCATTAATAAGGGTGAACAGTGTAATATTTTCTTTTTTGTACTGTTTTTGTCATGCTTTGCTATTAAGATTATGCTAATTTGGTGGTCTAGCTCAGTGGTGCTTGCCTAGCCTATGTGATACCCTGAGTTCATCCATCAGTACCACCAGAAAAAAGATGCTGATTTTATCAAATAAATTGAGGAATGTTTCATCTTCATTTTCTGGAAGAGTTGGTCTAGGATTGGTGATAATTCTTTTTTATACAATGATGGCAGGGGTTTTGTTTTTTATCTTTTGGAAAAAGTTTTTATTTATTTATTTATTTTTGGGTCCGGTCGTGGGGCCTGAACTCTGGGCCTGGGCGCTGTCCCTCAGCTCTTCAGCTCAAGGCTAGTGCTCTACAACTTGAGCCACAATGCTACTTTCGGCTTTTTTTCTTTTTACTTATGTGGTGCTGAGGAATCGAACCCAGGGCCTCATGCATGCAATGCAAGTACTCTACCACTGAGCCACCTTCCCAGCCCCAAAAGTTTTTCTTTAATAGATGGAAAGCTCAGATTTTTAATTACTTGTTCAGTTGATAATTACATTTCTCTGAATTTATTTCATCTCAATTTTCAAGTTTATTAGCATAAGCTATTAATTATACCATCTAACTTTGCATAGGATTTCTAGTGGTGTACACCCCCACCCCCCTTGTTTTTTAGTGCTGGCTCCTGGGCTTGAACTTGGGGACTGACACTCAACCACTTCTGGCTTTTTGTTGGCTAACTAGAGATAATAGTCTTTCAGTTTGTCTACCTAGGATGGGCTTTGAATCATGAGCCTTAGATCTCAGCCTCTCGAGTAGATATGCTTACAGATATGAGCCATCAGCCCCGTACTCTTCCCTTTTGAGGTAAGATCTACCCATGTAGCTAAGCTGGCCTGATATTTGCTATGTAGCTGGGGCTGGCCTCAAGCTCATAAATCCCCTGTCATAGCAGCCAAAGTGCTGGAATTATAGAAGTATCCTATATATATAATATTTTTTTTTTGGGTCTGGTCGTGGGGCCTGAACTCTGAGCCTGGGCGCTGTCCCTTAGCTCTTCAGCTTAAGGCTAGCACTCTACCACTTGAGCCACAGAGCCACTTCCGGCTTTTTGCTTATGTGGTGCTGAGGAATCGAACCCAGGGCCTCAGGCATGCAAGGCAAGCCCTCTACCACTGAGCCACCTTCCCAGCTCTCCTGTATTCTTTGTTTTGTTTTGTTTTTTTGGGGTCTGGTCGTGGGGCCTAAGCGCTGTCCCTCAGCTCTTCAGCTCAAGGCTAGTGCTCTACCACTTGAGCCACAGCGCCATTTCCGGCTCTTTTCTTTTTGCTTATGTGGTGCTGAGGAATCGAACTCAGGGCCTCAGGCATGCAAGGCAAGCGCCCTACCACTGAGCCAACTTCCCAGCCCCTCTCCTGTATTCTTAATAGTGATCATTTCTATCCTTTTTTGAAAAGGAGTCTCACCAGAGGTTTAGCAGTTTTATTCCTTTCAATTAACAAACTTTTGATTTAATGTTGGCCCTTTTCTTCTCCATCTCCTTATCTCTGTGTGCCTGCCTACATAGCAAGTTGTCACATTCTTTCTGTATGAATTTTATTTGTTGTTCATTCTGTAAATTCTTAAAATAAATACTTAAGAGTATTGAATGTTTTCAGCTAGTCATTTTCAAATATGGGCTTTAAAAGCTATAACTTTTATTCTGTGTACTTATTACACTTCTTTAGCTTTGTTCTGTAAGTTTATTATGCTTTATTTATTTTTAACCTTCATTCAGTTCAAAATAATGAGAATGTTTGACTCCATGAGTCAAAGCGAACTGCTTAATTTCCAGACATAGAGAGTTTTTTAGACTTACTTTGTCATTTCTGACAAAATCCCTCCTTGGTCAGGGAATGTATACTGATTGATCTCAGCCCTTTCATATGTATTAGACTTGCTTTGTGGACCATTATGTGATCCAGCGGGTGGAAGATGGTTGTGTGCTTGGGAGATTTGTTCACTGAGCAGTTACTAGTTCCAGTACAGTGTGCTCTATGTGTAGTACCCTTCAGTCTTCTGTGTCCTTATGGTTGCTCTGGTTTTTATCTGCTGTTCTGTTACTGTGAGAATATCTCATTCTCTTTTTCAGACCTGTCAGTTTTTGCTCATGCCAGAACTATGTTATCACATGTATACAGATGTAGAACTTTTTATCATTCTGGTGAATCATGTGAAACGGGCTTCAATTTCAGTAATGCCTCCTACAAAGTTGACAAAGTAGGGGTAACTTTTTTAAGGTTAAGAGTTGCATGGGGCATTGTTTCCAAACTTGCTTTCAGCTTTTCTACATTTTATGCTGAAGTTAAGTCTCTTATAAACTGACTAAAATTATTTTATTTTTATTTATTTATTT